GTAAATCAGCAGATACCTGTCTTTAAAATGTCGCCTTCATTGATGGTTGAACACATTGACGGTGGTTCGTGATTTTTCGTCAGAAATCATTGAACCCTAGGGAAGTAGTATAAATTAGCAATTAATTTATACGATCAACTTTACTGTGTCCATTTTAATGCTGTAATCATTGGATCGAATTTTCTGCAGCTCATAAATTGATGTGCACTGTCGATGTCCCCATTCTACTGGAGTGGAGCTATGCACATGACTCGAAACTAATAAATTTTTTTCAATGTGACTTTCGGGAAAAAGAGTCACTTATGAAGGTTTGGGTAACTTAGCAAAAAGCCGGCAGTAACATTTTTGAACACTCATAATCAATTTGTCATCCTATTAAGAAGTGATCTCGACTCTCGACTTCGACATCGAAATTGAGATCAGCGGCCCCCTCATTACCTCCATGAAAAGAAGGACGCCAGAAATGACTCATTTTGAAAGTGTTTGGAGGATCGACATTCCAGTGGTTTCAGACTTCCGCTTCCTCACTCATTCATTTACTTCGGAAAGAAATGCGACGAGTGACTCGGGATCTTTCTATTCTGAATCCGACGTTCTAACGACAAAGTTACACGGATAAGCTTATGTCCGCATTGATATCCGTCGATTAATGTCTCTGTTTTCAAGAACATGCCTTACATAGCATAGATATTGAAGATTATCTCGCAAGAGTTGATTTTATGGAGGTTCTCCAACAGTTGTAGTGTCGGTGACTCAGGGAAACCTCGTGTTGACAAAACGTTTTGCACTGCTGCCGCGAAAAGCACAGCCAACCCCTCTCCTTTTTATAACTTTTCATTTGTGAAGCGCAACCGATCGTAAGTAAGAAACAAAAATGAGTGACATGCGTTTCCGAACTCGCTTTTAAGCAAAAGCCATAGGAGGCTTACCGCCATTTTGCGTCTTGAACTCTGGCCATAGAAAATGGCCATCGCTTCCCATGACAATCTTCGCGTTATCAATAATCTCGTCAGATATGTGTGATATCACCGTCGCTGCAGGAAACTTCCCAGATCAGTTTGTCAGCACCGTCTTGGACCGACACTATCGATCAGCGTCGTGCCACGTCTGCACATGGCCTGACATTAGCCACTCTTCCAGAAGATAATATACGCAGCCGAAGAAGTTCGCCACAAAAAGCATGACTTCGGCAAGCGTGCTTCGGGCAGTTTCAAGTCTGGGAGTTCTGAAATATGAGAAGGCCGAAGCTGCGTGATCTTTCGACGTTTGTGTCAAAGACTGAGTCTAAAACCATCTGTTCCTTCAGCAGCTTTCTCAGCGATTTATATGCTATAATTGTTCATTCAGGTGTTCCATTTCTTTCATCGCTTGAGCCATATTTCATCAAGCGATTGTTTGCTATATTTTCTTGGTAATGCGATGACTGCTGTCTACATCTCCAATTCACTGATGCTGCTACTCTTGGCTCGTGCGGTCTTCTAAAAGAAGATGTCATTGCTTGCCTCTTTCGAAACTTTGCTGTTCGTAAAAGAGGAAAATCTGAAATCATTTTTTTCTCGATAATGACGCCTGTTCAAAAATATGACGAAATCTCATTATGGGATATTTACGCCGTGTAAAGTGATGAAAAGAGTTAGTCGAAATTTTCTCATCTTGTTCCAATTGTTGCCAAAGATGAGTATTAGCGATTTTTTACATCATGGGTCAAGGGTACAACGTTCAACCATTATAATATTGATGAAAACGTAGAGATATTCAGGCGAGTGTATAAATCAGATAGCGATGAAACTGTGCACACAAAACAGCCTTAAAAAATTTTGGCATTCAAATATTTTAAATATCTTTAGTGAGATGCAGCGAAGTAATATCCAGGATTCATAACGTAGAAACATCAACACCCATTATTGATTTCAAGGTGGAAACAAGTTCATACATGTTGATAACTATATCAACATATTCATGATAAACTTGCATATCGGGGAAAGAAAAACTTTTCCGATTATAAACTTACATTTCAACAGTTTGCTACGATTCTGCCTACTCAGTTTATTGGTTCTACCTTGACGTATAGTTGTAAAATTTTATTAAACGTCTCTATGTTAAACCGCATATGGGACTAGGTTTTGACTTGTCCCTAATCATCTTCAGCTAAGCGGCGCCATCAGGCCAGTTGAAACCCGAACTTGTGTGTCGATGTGCGTAAACTATAAGAGATCATTGAAAGTTTAATGAACGTTTAGTATGACCCTATCTCTAACTATGAGATATGTAATGCAATTCATACAACGTGCAATTTGCATAAAGCTGTCATCATCTCCGTTCCCAGTCTGAAAGGCCAGCTGTGTTGTGTTAAATGGATTACTCTGCCTTAGCCTATTCCAACAATGGCTCAACTCTGCAATGGATATTCGACTATATCCGTTGATATCCGCGAAATCAACAGAAAAGTATAATTGGCATGGAATACGTGTTAACATGAAGTTGTTCTTATAGTGGAAACTGCCCGTGTGGTTGAAACGGAGTTTTCGACCTGTGTGTGTTTTCACAACTAACCTTGGATGCTAAGTCTGAGCGGTACCTAACCGTAGATTTCGCGGCATGAAAAAGTGTATATTGAGGATAACTGGAAGAAATGGGAAAATAACGAATGAGCAAGACCACAGAAAGGAGTACGCAATATCAATGCACGAGTGAAGAAGTTGAAGTGGCAATGGGCATGACACATAGGAACACCTCCAAATCGATGACAGGATGAGCTGAAGAAGTTCGTTCTTTAGAAAACTAAAGCTTATATCCTTATAGATCCATCGTCTAGCAGTGGACACAACCGGCTATTTATAATGACTCTAGGAATAGCCTGTGCAAACAATGTACGCTGAGTGTAATTCAATAATATTAAGCTATAAGCGAGTTCTGTGGTATTAGAAGCACAGAGAAAACAGAAAACCAAACAGGCAGCTCGACTGACTTTTCTCAGTTTCCCAACTTTCGTAACATTTTAAAATTTTCATTGGCTGTGTTGATTGACATAAGTGACAACATCGACTTAGCGTAACTGTTTCACTGGCCTTCTCCTCCATGCTTTTCGCTTAAGCATTTTAAAGAGAGACAATTTACACGACTACGTAACATCCTTGGGTATCTGATTGTTCATCTGATTACATGTAGCACCACTAAATCCGGATGTGCATATCCAGATGTATCAAAGTATTTTCATGTATGATAAGATTTTGCATGAATAGCGAAATGGACATAATTTTTTATATGATTAAGGTAATCAATAATGCAAGAATAAAGATCTAACGGTATGCTTGTCGCCTGATTGTTGGGCCAAAACTGCAATAAGGAAATTATTTTAGACATTTCAGTGGGTACCACGTTTGCGGTTAGATGCACATTGGTCTTCTGACTCTAAATGATGAACAAACTCGGTTGACGATTTTTGGCGAAAGCAATAGCCCCGCTTCAGGAAGGTGCCGATGGCGAACTGCTGCTAGTTTCTGCAGGAACTTAACTCTACACTTCCTAAGTTGATCAAGATAAACGAATAGTAAACAAGATGCAATGTCGGATTCGTAGAAGCAGAGTTTCTTCGCTGTCCTGAAAACTTTAGCTTGATGTATAAACATGTGATTCAAGGCTTCATTGCTTAGCGCTCGGTCCTACCTTGTCACTCGTCACTCACTACCTTGCCTTCAGGCACTGAATAAGAGTCACAGAATTCCATTACCATAACCTCTACGGGCGTAGTTGGTTAAACGACTCATTATTTACAGCGGTTAAAACTAACGCCGGAGAGCAGGGATCTCAGGCTGGCATTCGTTGAAAGAGCGCCATTTGAAAATACAACGAAACCCATTTATTTACGCAGCGCAATGTAATACAGCTTGTCGGGACCATAAACCGGTACCGACGTTACGGTTCGTATGTCACAGGCATTTCCGGGACAATCACTAAGCCAGTGAGAGTAGTCGTTGGCCACACCAGCACCGTGGCGCTGTTGTTGCGCCTTCTAAACCAGCAGAATATCCTCAAGTTTACTTCTTTGAAGTAACGTCAAGTAAAGCTTCTATCATGGAGAATTTAAGTTGCGACTTGTCACCGTTAGTCAGCCAGAAGCTTGGACCCTGCAGAATTTCTTTACACTCAAACTTCTGTACTAAACCTGGAAACCTGGCGTGCTGCGTGATAGGTGGCCAAACGTTTAGCGGCGTACGCCGTGGGAGAAGGCGTCCTTCAAGACATTCGTTATTTTAATCGTCCGTTTCTGGTTCCTCCGGGGTCGTCTTTTTTTCTGTCAATCCATTTCGCGCATCGGCGCTCCGCCCTATTGCAGGTTCTATTGGTCATTTTTAAAACGTGCGGTTTCTTTACCAATAGCGCGTAGTAGGTGTGCGCGTAAACCGGCCTCCGTACAGTATCCAAAAAACGTGATCCTTAAAATGCAGAACAGGTGGGCGGGCGGTTCGTCCTTAGGTTTGCGCAGGGCAGAAAGGCGTGGAGAGGACTTGATGGAGTGTTGTGTAGTGTTAGGCTGATCAAGCAATTGGGATCGATCGAAAAACCATACAACGATCGATGAACGACGACGTCGTTAACTGAAGTTGTAGTCACATGTGCAATCAGAAGTTCGATCGATAGCCGATCACGAAGTTCCGATCATTCTTTCATCAGAAGGAGAGAAACTTTCTCGGGTTGCTGATCGTATCCGCATGAAAAAAACGTCACTATTAAATATAATAATCATAATAATCAATTTTCGGTATTAGTTTGAAACGGAGCACGTGTTCGTTTACACTTGCAAGAAACTTCAGCTAAAAAAGTATCGATTAGCATTCGATTCGATAACTTCATTGTTAGTTATCCGTCGTTTTCATTGTTGTCGTTGTTGCCATGACCAGATGTACAGCTGTTGTGCTGGGCGGACGAAATGGGATCGACAACTTCGACAGCGTATCGAAGAAAGAGCGAAAGTTAGCTGCTTTCTGAGATGTCACCAATGATCGTCTATTTACTGAAGGAAACGATGGCAATGACTTAAGGACCGACGAACAGATCATGTCTCGCGGCAGACAGTGACCGCACAGGGAACAGACAATAGAATTCCGTTGAGAACCGTAACACCGGCCGCTGAGTCGCGCTGCACCCTCAGGGCCGATATCCTCTATCCAATCAGCGGAAGCGCAGGCGGGTATAATTGAATGAGGCGCTCGGTGATTGGACACTGGCTTAAGCGACCACGGACCACCGGACAAAACCGTCGCTCGTAAACTTTCATGCATAGTGAGCAGCAGCAAGTAATCGTGCTCGCGCACACACAGTTTAGTGCGGAAAAAGTGGTCATGCAGCAGTTTTTGGTTGTCACGTGCGCTTCTGGTAACCTGAGCATCAGAAAAGTCCGGTCCCGTCGGTGTGTTCGCCTGTGACTCTGTAAACCAAATGATCGCATTACAGTATACGGTC